AGCCCTTCATTGAGGAACAAGCTACTAACTCCGGAGACCCTTCAGCAAGGAACTACTCCAGTTCGGCATACTCCCGAACTCGGCATACTTCCAGTTCGGCCATACTCGAACTCGGCATACTTCAAGTTCAGCATACTCTGGACTCGGCACACTTCCAATTTGGCATATTCCAAATTTGGCACACATCTAATAGGCATACTTCTAGTAGAGAATCAGAGGACTTCTCATATACAGAGATTGTACCCCTTCTTGATTGATACATACTACTTGTAACCGATACTTTGAATTTTGAATATATACAATTCAAGTTTTTCGCGTTTACATATTTTGGCACGCCCAGTGGGACAGCTCTACCTCTCATCTCTCTACTACTACTATATCTCTACCTGCGCATCAAATGACATCGAACAATCCCATGTTCAGGAGGGCCTATGCCTAAGCTACTAAGTCCAAGTCTACGCCTGTAGCTAGCTCTGGCACTACCCCAAAAACGCATGGTCCACTGACAAGAAACCGCGCAAAGGATTTGGGTGTCCAAGTGCCTGAACCTCAGTCCATGGCACGACGTGTGGTTCAAAGGCTTGACAAGGCCCCTGCTGCCTCAAAGGCGACTACTTTTGCTGGAAGTCCACCCTCTCCCAAGGGGGCTACCGATGGTGGTAGTCCAACTTCTATACAAGGGAACGCTAGTAGCGGGAGCACTTCCCCTGTAACTCCGCCACATCCATTATGGAAGGCTGCACCTGAGTGGTCGCATGTCTACAAATGCCTGCCATGACGACAAACACAGAGTCTGTGGAGGAGCAATTAGCTAGAATTGCTAGGTCTCTGGAAGGAATGGCTGTCGCTCTCCAAAATCAAGAGAAACGGCTTAACACCCTCGATAATAGGGTAGGAAGCATCATGGAGGAGCAAGGAAGCCGTGCTCCAGGAAAGCAACCTGAAGGGCAAGAAGAGGTTGGTCAGCAATCGCCACCACCTCATGTTAGCCATGTGGTAGGAGAAGCTGCTTCCCACTTACCTGCAACTGAGAAAACTATTCCAGTTACCGAAGGCATGATACCGGTGGATCAGTTGAAGGACTACATAATGGGGGCCATCAAAGGCAAGTTGGATGAAGGCCAACCTTCATATTCCTATGCTAAGCCCTACACACAAAGAATTGAGGAGTTGAAAATGCCCTACGGCTATCAACCTCCTAAGTTCCAGCAATTCGGTGGCAAGGGAAATCCCCGACAGCACATTGCCCACTTTGTGGAAATATGCAATGATGCAGGGACTTATGGTGATCTGTTGGTAAAGCAGTTTGTCCGTTCATTAAAGGGAACTACGTTTGACTGGTACACTGACCTCGCGCCCGGCTGCATTGATAGCTGGCATGATATGGAACGTGAGTTCTTAACCCGTTTCTATAGCACGAGGAGAACAGTTAGCTTCTTGGAACTCACCACTACTCGCCAATGGAAGGGTGAACGCGCCGGTACCTACATCGAAAGGTGGAGGGAACTATGCCTGAATTGCAAAGAAAGAATATCCCAAAGTTCTGCAATTGAGATGTGCATCCAAGGCATGCACTTTGAACTCTTCTATATCCTACAAGGGATTGAGCTAAAGTCCTTTGAGGAGTTATCCAGTCGTGCTCACGACATGGAATTGAGCATCGAAGCTAGCGGAGGGCTCAACATATTGAACATGCCTAGCTCATCCAATGCACCTGGAAAACAAGAAGTTAAAAAGTGGAACAAACCTTTTCCAAAATAAGAAAAGAAAGAAGTGATGAATGTGAAGGCTACTCCTATGATGGTCTTCACTAAGGCAACTGAAAGGCCTAGGCCAAGACCATTTTCTGTCCCGTCAAGGGGTGGTAAAAGGCCTACAATTGAAGAAAGGCAGGAGAAGACTTATCCTTTCATGGATTCCGATGTATCTCCCATGTTCGATGAGCTACTCAAACTTAGGCTCATTGAGTTGCCTGAAATGAAACGTCCTGAGGAAGCTACAAGGGTGGATGACCCATATTACTGCAAGTACCACCGTCTTCTTGGTCATCCGATTTAGAAGTGTTTTATCTTCAAAGATAAAGTCATGGCACTGGCCAGTGATGGGAAAATTGAGCTTGCCGATGCCAAAGCGAGCTCGAATCAAATCTCGATCACACCCGGATGGTTCGCTCCGCTGTGTACTGAAAAGGAAGATGGGAAACAACGGAAGCGCCCACTCCCCTTCATTGTTAAGCACGCTGTCGGTCAAAGTTCAGAACCACGGCAGAATGATAACACATCCGAAGGAAAATGGGTGATTGTCACTCATAGAAAGAAAAAAGTCGAGCCTGTGAAGCATCAAAAGCACATAGTGAAAAGTTGGGTTGAGAAAACCTCAAAAAATACTCATGCCTGCAAATCAAAGACAAAGGGCCATGTCAAACAGCCACGAGCACCAGTTCCTTTGGCTCAATATATGCCAAAGGGATTTGATCTTCAAGGGGCAGGCACTTCTAGCTCCTGCCTAAATACAAATGACAAGCCAGAAGATGGAGGTGAATGTTCATCTCCTAAACACACCGAGGATGAGGAAGTGTTAATGCATAAGGCTACTTCCTACTCCACAGAAATTACCTTCAAGGATGAAGACTTGTTACTTGGAGGCATGCCACACAATCGCCCACTATTTGTTGAAGGCTATACCCGTGGGCAAAAGCTCAAAAGAATTATGGTTGATCAAGGCTCAGCTGTCAACATCCTATCCCTTCGAGTTGTGAAGGACCTTGGTATATCTACAGATGAGCTTGCCCAAAGTCGTCTAATGATACAAGGCTTCAACCAGGAGGGCAAAGAGCAATCGGCATCATCAGACTTGACTTAAGAATTGGAAGCCTAAGTTCAGGTGTCCTCTGCCATGTCATAGATGCGAGGACATCTTATAACTTGTTACTTGGAAGGCCGTGGATACATGAAAATGGGGTGATACCCTCGTCTTGGCATCAATGCCTTATGTTTGAAAGGAACGGCGTAGTTGAAAAGGTTGTCGCCGATGAAAGCCCTTTCACAGAGGCTGAGTCTTACTTTGCAGACGCAAAGTTCTACATTAAAAGGCAAGTTATTGTTGAAGATATTGAGGAAAGCAATGACGATCCACCTTCCCAATCAAAGTCGAAGGGAAAGCAAGTTGTAGAGGGAGATCAACACAACAAAAAGCTCATTTTCCCGCTTGCAAGGATTGATACACTCAAGGCAAATGCAGCAAAATCATTTGAAGATAAAGGTGGTGATAAAGTGGGCCAAACATTCCCCGCCAAGCGTACCGAGGGTTTCGACCCTAATGCTTATAAGCTTCTAGCCAAGGCTGGCTATAACCCCAACGAGCCACAGAAGTTGGGAAAGCTTATCCCAGAAGCCGGTGGTAACGGCAAAGCAAATCACCAAGAACCTCAAACGCGCAAAGGGTTGGGCTATGTTCCCCCTAAACCAATGCGAATTCTTATAAACAGAGCTGCAAGTAATTGTATCTCCGCGGAGGGAAGCGAGTATGACCCAAAACTCACTCCTACCAATGATAATGGGCAAGACAAAAAGAAGTCAGTCTTCGACCGGATCGGTAAGGCTGACTCTCGACGCTCAGTCTTTGATAGATTGGGGTCAAGTCCTAAAGCCCTAAAGAGAAAGTCAATGCATGATCGACTTGGAGCTGTCCAAGTTATTAAAGACAGTGCCAATGTTCCTGTTGAAGTGGAACCTCCCAAAAGGCTTAGAAGCATGATTCCTTCTCGTATGAGACGAGAAACATATATTCATGTTTCATATGGTGAAGTGTTGAAAGTCCAACTGAAGACCATTGTACACACTCGTGTACATAAAGAAGAGAATGAGGAAAGTGTAGGCTCAAGTGATGACGTACCACCAACTACTCAGGAAGATGTGGCTTCGTCGTTCCATATCACTTTATGTGATGAGACTCCGACTGAGGGAGAAGATGCAGAAGAGGCACCCCATGAGTTAAAAGAAGGGGTACGAGCCGCAGTGGATGAATTAAAAGAAGTCGATTTGGGAACTCCTGAAAATCCTCGTCCTATCTTCATTAGCGCACTCCTATCTGACGAAGATGAAGAAATCTATGTCACATTGCTGAAAGAATATATTGATGTCTTTGCATGGACATACAAGGAGATGCCAGGGTTAGACCCAAAGGTAGCTGTGCACCGCTTAGCTGTGAAGAAGGGGTGTCGCCCGGTTAAGCAGGCTCAACGACGCTTCCGCCCCGAGCTCATTCCCTCGATTGAAACAGAAGTTAATAAGCTTATTGAGGCTGGCTTCATTCGTGAAGTTAAATATCCAACCTGGATATCTAGTATTGTGCCTGTGCGCAAGAAGAACGGCCAGATCCGCGTCTGCGTAGATTTTTGGGACCTCAATGTGGCATGCCCAAAAGATGACTTCCCGCTTCCTATCACGGAGTTAATGATAGATGCCGTGACTGGGCATGAGATCCTGTCATTCATGGATGACTCCTCCGGTTACAATCAAATCCGCATGGCGCCGGAAGATGAAGACTTAACTGCATTCCGAACGCCGAAAGGCATTTACTGTTACAAAGTAATGCCCTTTGGTTTGAAAAATGCAGGTGCTACATACCAACGGGCTATGCAGACAATAATTGATGATATGCTCCATAAAATGGTCGAATGCTACGTAGACGACCTGGTTGTGAAGTCAAAATTGCGCACAAATCACTTGGTGCATTTAAGGCAAGTCTTCGACCGCCTACGGAAGTTTCAACTCAAAATGAATCCCCTGAAATGTGTTTTTGGGGTTGCTGCTGGAAAGTTCCTCGGGTTTACTGTTCGACACAGGGGCATCGAGATTGAACAAGCAAAGATTGACGCCATAATGAAGATGCCTGAGCCGAGAAACCTTCATGAGCTTAAAAGCTTACAAGGGAAGTTGGCTTACATCCGAAGGTTCATATCGAACCTAGCAGGAAGATGTCAACCTTTTAGTCGGTTGATGAAAAAGGGCATCCCATTCATATGGGATGAGGCATGCAAGAATGCATTTGAGAGTATCAAGTCATACTTGATGAAGCCGCCTGTGCTAACTGCTCCTGTTCATGGCCGCCCGCTGATCCTTTATATCTCCGCCCAAGACAGTTCTGTGGGAGCCTTGCTTGCTCAGGAAAATGACAAGGGGAAGGAGAATGCTCTCTACTATCTCAGCAGAATGATGACCCCGAACGAGTTAAAGTACTCCCCAATTGAAAAGCTATGTTTGGCACTTGTGTTCTCTATCAAAAAACTTAAGCACTACTTCGAGGCTCATACCATCCGGCTTGTTTCCAAAGCGAACCCGATGAAATATGTTATGGCGAAGGTCGTTCTCTCCGACCGCCTCGCAAGGTGGTACTTATTGTTTCAACAGTTTGAAATTATATATGTGCAGCAAAAGTCTGTAAAGGGGCAAGCCTTGGCCGATTTCCTAGCAGACCACCCAATACCTGCTGAGTGGGAGTTGTCTGACGATTTGCCTGATGAAGATGTGCTTGTCATTGAAATACTACCCCTATGGAAGATGTACTTTGATGGAGCTTCACATAGAGAAGGGGCAGGTGCTGGAGTTGTCTTCGTCACTCTAGAAGGTGAGGTGTTGCCATATTCATTTACCTTGACCGAGCAATGTTCAAACAACGTTGCTGAGTATCAAGCATTGATACTCGGGCTCGAAATAGCGGCTGACATGAAGCAACTGAGAATTAACATTTATGGAGATTCAAAGTTGATCATAAACCAAGTGTTGGGTCTATATGAAGTGAAAAAGGCGGAGTTAGTCCCATATAACAACTATGCAAAGATACTCATGCAATGGTTAGGGGACGTCACAATTGAACATGTACCGAGGAAAGAAAACAAACAGGCTGACGCCTTAGCTGCATTGGCTTCAACTATTGCTCATCCTGCAACCCGAGTGCGAGTATGTCAAAAGTGGGTAGTTCCACCAATCTTCAATGAAGACGGCTCAGTGGATGAAACTGTTGAACTCCCTACTGCCTCAGTGTATGATATTGGCAAAGACGACTGGAGGCAATCGCTAATTGACTACCTCGTTGATGGAAAGTTACCCGAAGATCCTTGTAAGAGGGTGGATATAAAGCGTCGAGCTCCTCGCTTCATCTACTATAAAGAGACGTTGTATCGTCGTTCATTTGAGGGAGTCTTTCTCCGATGTCTAGGGGAAGAGGAATCTTTACAAGCTATGCAAGAAGCTCATTCTGGGGTTTGCGGTGCACATCAATCCGGTCCCAAGTTGCACTTCCATATTAAACGAATGGGCTATTATTGGCCTATAATGGTAAAGGATTGCATAGACTATGCTCGAAGATGTTGAGCTTGTCAATATCATGCAAACTTTATCCATCAGCCACCAGAACCTTACACCCAACAGTTGCATCTTGGCCATTCGATGCTTGGGGACTTGATGTGGTTGGCCCAATTACGCCTAAGTCATCTGCAGGGCATGCCTACATACTAGCTGCCACCGATTACTTTTCAAAATGGGCTGAAGCCATGGCATTGAAGGAGGTGAAGAAAGAAAATGTTGCAAACTTTCTCCATGTCCACATCGTCTATCGATTTGGTATCCCGCGATATATCTTAACAGATAACGGGAAGCCCTTTGACAACAAGTTGATGGACAAGATCTGCAAGCTTTTTGACTTTAAGCAGCGAAACTCATCAGCTTACTATGCAGCTGCAAATGCGCTTGCAGAAGCTTTTAACAAGACCCTATGCAATTTGTTGAAGAAAGTGGTCTCAAAATCGAAAAGAGACTGGCATGACAGAATGGAAGAAGCTTTGTGGGCGTATAGAACCACATACCGCACACCTACTCAAAGCACTCCATACTCTTTGGTGAATGGTGTAGAAGCGGTCTTGCCTCTAGAGCGCCAAATACCTTCCTTGAGGTTGGCCATACAGGAGGGTCTTACCGATGAAGAAAATGCTAAACTACGCTTGGCTGAGCTAGAAGCCTTGGATGAAAAACGTCTGCAAGCGCAACAAAGCTTGGAGTGCTATCAAGCTCGTATGTCTAGAGCTTTTAACAAAAGGGTAAGGACCCGTTCCTTTCAAATTGGGGACAAAGTCCTAGCTATTCGCAGGCCCATCATCGTCACGAGAAAAACCGGTCACAAGTTCACTTCAAGGTGGGATGGTCCCTACGTGATTTTAGAAGTTTACACCGGTGGGGCTTACAAGCTGATTAGTGAAGATGGTTTGAAGATCGGTCCAATTAATAGAAGGTTCCTAAAGCTTTACCACCCTTAAACTTGGGGTGTCAACACAAGTCATGAAGATCTGATGAATGACTCATCCACCAAAAATGCAGCACGTGGTTAAACTGCTAATGCATCTCGCTTTGTCTTTGGGTGGGCCCAAATCATAGACGCTCCTGGCCCGCATGAGTCTAAACTGTGAACGGCTCTACTTTTCAAAAAAAAAAAAAAATCAGTTGAACTACGTTTGACTTGATCTCCTTCATAGGAGTACGTAGGCAGCTTAGAAGTTAGATTATCTAAGTTCAGTCATAACAAAACAAATCCAACTCATGTTGCAAGAATGTTGTATCAAGACAATCGTCCAATAAATCAAAGTAAAGATGTTATTGCTAAAAGACCAGCATACAAATGAGAAGCATTCAATTATCAAAAGTTAGAAACAAAATGACGAAAATTCTTGCAATCAAAAGAGAAACTAAAGGACAAAGAGCATCAGTCAACAAAAAAGCCTAAAGCTAAGCATATCGTCTTTGCAGGCTTCTAAGCCTCTCTTTGCCTCCTTTAGTCTCACTTCATCCTCCGGCGTCAGTATAGTTAGTTCCTTAATGCGAGTGGCCTCTGCCTCAGCCGTCGAAACGGCAGTTTTAGCGTTGTCCAGGTCGTCTGTGATTTCGGCAACCGTAGTGTCGCATTACTCCACCTTGGCGCGAGCTAACTTCAACTCTTTCTCCAATTCCTCTTCCCGATCTTTGGCAGCCTTAAGCATCTTGTGTTGGTCCAGTAAATCCTTCTTAAGGCTCTTATACTTTTCTTGTGCGTTCTTGAGCTCATCCTTCGCCGAAGATAAAGACTGGGACTCGCTTGATGTTTTGTCAGAAATCGTGGACCTTAGGATATCAAAGGCTTGAGCTTTTGTGAAAATCTCTTCAACCCGTGTTTCCAAAGGAGAGATGTCAATGTCTAACTTCCGCAAGTTTGCAAAAGCATTCATAAAGTTCTCTTGCAAAGATGAAACATGCTCTACCGAGGTTTCGTCTAACTTTTTGCGAAGCTTGTTCCAGACATGTATGATGACCACCTTAAATTCTTCCAGCACGAGGTCTTTTCCATCAAACACAAAGACCTCAGGTCTATCTTGCTGACTTAAGCGTGGCTCGTCGAAGGAATTCCCTGACTGGTGCGTGTTCGATGCTGGGGCATTATTTGAGTGTCCGCTTTCTCCAGTATTGCTTGTAGCCCCCCTTTGATTCGATGACTCAGCTCCTCCCATAGCAGGTATCGCCACATTTTCCTGTCAAGAAGTAAAAGAGGGTAAATTAAACGCTATCAACAACAATTGGGATAAGCGAGAACAGTGGTTTACCTCCACTGGGGAAGGCGAACGTCTGTCTCGTCGCCGTTTCCAGTGGTGGTCGCGGCTATCTTCATCATCCGAGTCCTATCGTATCACATCAACTTCCTTTTGTGGAATAATTTTTTCCTTTCTCTTCTTGGGTGGCGGTTCACTTTCTTGGACTGGACGTTAGCCTTTCTTGGAGGTACCGGCTTCATGCTGCATATCGGCTGGGTACTCTGGAACTAAATCGTTAATGCTGCGCTCAAGGTAGTCCCCATGGACTTGGGCCCACCAATCCTTGTAACTCCGCGAAAAGTACTTCTTCATAGTGACAGTGACTCGAGTCGCGGGAAATGTCACTCGCGACCCTGAGCCCCTGAGTGTAAAATGGCGCCAACGTTGGAAACCCTCCGAAAGCGTAAATTCACGTTCGTCATTGCCTAATATGCCAGAACCGCCATCCTGATAGTACCCGAATTGTCGACTAAATCGATGAGGAGTTTAAGGCTCGACGACACATGCATCTGTCCATCGTAATACGAGGTAGTTAGAACGGAGACACATGAAGTACTCGTCGTCGGTGTCGTGAGCATTCCCATCGTCAAGGAAGTGAAGATCCTTAGTTAAGCGGCGTGTCGTGCAAAGCCAGTTGGCACTGTCAGCTTTGAAAATCTTGCGACGAGCCTCTACCGGTCCGTAATATCTCGCACCACCCTCCCCCGAGTAGGCGATCATCAACGGAGAAGCTGACGTGTGATCTTTGGCGAAATGAGTGTCAAAATAAAGCGACAACCATCCATAGACATAGTGGATGGGGAAGCGACTATCAGCTAGCCCCGGGGTATTAGATTGGGATATCACGTTCAGTCCAGTGTAGATGCTCGCAAGCACGGGGATCCCAAGGTTCAATGTTCTACCTGTCGCCATTAAGCAAGCCATTTTGAATGTCTGGAAGCGAATGACTCGCGTCATTTTAATGGGGAGCACGAATACGCATAGCCAGCAACTCAAGTATGCCGCTAAGTGAGTCTCATTTTCATGTTCAGGGGGAATTCCAAGCTCGGCAAAGGGTGCTCTGGTTGTTTTAGTCCATCCCTTGAATGTTGGGATCTTGCCATTTGGATTTTGGGTGTTCTTTGGGCGAGTTTTCTTCTTGTCCTCTTTCCTTGGCATTGGTCTGTCATAAACTGGCGGTCTTCTACTCCAAAATTCTATCCAGTCAACAATGTGAACACTGAACGGTTATTATCGTTTTTTTCGCGACGACTCCCTCGTTGCCTGTTTCGGTCACTAATGTAGCAATATGCTTGGAACAAGTACTTAAAACTTTGAGGAGTGGAGTCAGGGTTAGCATCTTCCCCCGTTAACTCTGAGGCGGTTGGGACATACTCATCATAGATGTCGCCAGATATCGGTAGACCGCAGAGCACACGCACATCCCAAAGTGAGATTGAAAGCTCACCAAGTGATGTAAGCAGTGTATTGGTCATAGGGCACCACGATTCGCAGAACGCTTGGACGATATGCGTCGAGCGGTCGTAGGTGAACAGCGAGGCGTATATGCCGTCGTAGATCGTCACGGCCTCCAGGAGCTCACGGTGCATACTGAGTATAGTCTCAGTCCATTCCCAATATCCCGGTGTGAAGCTGAACTTGCCTCTGAAGCTGGGATGTTGGTTCCATGAAACCCCACCCCTAAGGATCCGTCTCCCTAGGGTCGGGAGTGGGTCTGAGTACTCCGTATGACCTAGCCCAGTTTTTAGAACCCATGTTTTGGATGGCTGGTGTTCGGCGTTACGAGTCCATTCCTCCACTTGATAAGGTAGTATCGGGGCAAGGAGGGTTCTTGGCGTCATCGGTGGGTGAATGATGAACGACATGTTTTTTTTTCCAGTCTCGTCGCTTGATACTTTGAGCCTCCTCTTCTGATCGGCTCCCACGGTGTCCCCAAACACCACCTTTGTTCAAAATGGTTCTGAAGCTGCATTAAGAATCGAGAGGTCAAGTGCTAAGAAGAGACAGTTTGAAGCCAAAGCTAAGGGTAAAATAAAATTTTTGCCACAAGAACACCTATGATACATATGTACACATAATACATGCAAGTCAAGTACATGGGTTATGAATCAATGTACGTGTGTTATGTATATATCTGCGCAGGTGGTGGTGCAAACAAGAATAGCACATTATACACATGTGGTCTACATAATATATACCATATATATGGTTCATACAAGCAAACACATGCACATCCAAAGAGAACATATAATATCAAGTCAAATCCAATTGGTAGGTGATATTTACTACTCCAATCGGATATATATATTATATAGATACACAACACATGCAGAAGCTATAATATAATATATATATATATATATATATATATATATATATATATATATATATATATATATATATATATATATATATATGATCCACAGAAACAAACAAATTGGCGAATGATATATGTTATGCATACATACCTACACTGCATCCAAGGCAAACACATATGGATGGAATACTAGCAAATGGCCCACATGTATTATAATAATACATGTGTACAGCCGTGCACCCATATCACATACAAAGCCAAAGCATCTTGTGTATGCCGTCCCCGTACACGTCTATGTTTGCATGCAAATAGAGAAACCAAGGGAAAGTAATATATGGACCAATGTGCATGTACTCATGCTAGCAGTGGGATATTAAAAGAGAAGCAAAGGGTCTTCAAAATAAAAAGGAAAGAAGCAAAAGGCGTGATTGAATGCTGACACACGCAAGAAATAAAATACGGAGGGTACGAGGCTCTGTGTGGATGTGAATTTAAAGTGGTTCTTCTTCTCTGTCAACAAGCTGGGTAAGACAGCACATGGCTCTAGGCCAACTCTGCACTCTCCATATATACATATGGTGTACCCATGACGGAGTCTAAAAGGAGAGCCACCGTAGAAAATTTAGGAAGAGAAAATATGGCACATATTCAAGCATGGCGAAAGAAAACGTTCGCGCAGCAAAAGCCAAAAAAAAAAACGTTGAAGCTGTGAAACGATATATATGTGTTCGTACATACGGCCAAAAGCCCATATAAATAAATATATTATATATGCCATCTATGGCCACATACTATGTATATATATATATATATATATATATATATATATATATATATATATATATATATATATATATATATATATATATATAGGCGGGTTGAGGTGCGGCAGTGTCTTACGGTGCGGTTATTTCTTACAGTGCGGCAACACCAATAGTTCACCAAATATGCACCATCAACGTTAGGAAATACACCACACAAAACCGAGTAAACAGAGCCCTGCATCACCAAACACACACCATTAGGTGTGAGTAAAAACACCATACACTGTTCGGAAATACACCATTGGGGGTGGTGAGTTATATGGTGTATTTTTTTGAGTCTGTGGTTTATTTTGTGATGTTTTATTACATTTCATTGGGGTGTGTTTTTATTACACTGTTGGTGCATATTGTTAACACTGTTGGTGTATTCTGGAATTTGACCGCACCGCCGCACCATAAGATCCCGCCGCATATGAGCGCTCTTATATATATATATATATATATATATATATATATATATATATATATATATATATATATATTACGCACATATACACTCACGTGGTGACATATATATTATATGCATAGAATGCATAGAGAGCTTGTATATCATGGTG